CTATAAGCCCTGACAGGGTAGTTCAGTTGGTTAGAGCACCATCCCATACACCAAGGTTACTGCTTCTATCCCTAGTCAGAGCAAATACTTACAAGAAGCAACCAATGAATGCATAAATAAATAGAACACCAAATTAATGTCTGTCTCTGTGTGTCTCTTTAAAAAAAAAAAAGCTAAAGATTTCTTTAGACAAATTAGGCCCTAAGAAAATTATCAAATTATACAGATTTATGTTTTCATATTTATAGTGTACAGAGGTAACATTTAAATAACAAACGAAATAGTTCATTAGATCATTTGAATTTTTAAAAGTTTTGTTTAAATGGTTATAAATAACTAGAAGCCTGGTGCACAAAAATTTGTGCACTCCGGGGGGAGGGGGGGGTCCCTCAGCCCGGCCTGTGCCCTCTCACAGTCTGGGACCCCTCAGGGGATGACCACGTGCTGGCTTAGGCCTGCTCCCCGGGGGATTGGGCCTAAGATGGCAATCAGACATCCCTCTGGCAGCCCGGCAGCCCTCGGGGGATGTCCACTTGCCAGCGGGGAGCAGGCCTAAGCTGCAGTCGGACATCCTTAGCGCTGCTGAGGAGGTAAGAGAGGCTCCCACCACCACCGCTGTACTGGCTTGTGCCTGAGCAGAGCTCCTCCCATGTGAGAGCGCCCTGACCACCAGAGGGCAGCTCCTGCATTGAGCATCTGCCCCCTGGTGGTCAGTGTGTGTCATAGTGACCAGTCATTCCCAGTCCTTCTGCTGTTAGGGTCAGTTTGCATATTACCCTGTTACTATATAGGATAGAGGCCTGGTGCACGGGTGGGGGCCGGCTGGTTTGCCCTGAAGGGTGTCCCGGATCAGGGTGGGGGTCCCCTTGGGTGCCTGGCCAGCCTGGATGAGGGGATGATGGCTGTTTGCAGCTGGTCACACCCTATTCAGGGTGGGGGTCCCCACTGGGGTGCCTGGCCAGTCTGGGTGAGGGGCTGAGGGCCGTTTTCAGGCTGGCAGGTGACTGAAGCTCCCAATCTCTCCTTTTTTTTCTTTTTTTCTTTTTATTCTGGGATTTGTTTACCTTCTATGGCTGTCACTGGAACTGAGAGCTGGCTTTAGCTCTGAGGCTCGGCTCCAACTCTGAGACCTTGGCATCTGAAAGCAGGTATCTGGGTTTGTTTGGATTCTATAATTGAAACACTGTTTCAGCTCCAGCTCCGAGGCCGGCCGGCTGAAAGCAGGTTTCTGGGGATTGTTTAGCTTCTATAATTGCAACATTGTTTCTTAGAATGCAGCTCAGAGACCGGCAGCAGCAGGCGGGGAACCTTGGCTTCCTCCTTCACTGGAGCAAGCAAGCCTCCTGTTCGCTTCAGCTGCCTGGCTGCCGGCTGCCATCTTGGTTGGCAGTTAATTTGCATATCTCACTGATTAGCCAATGGGAAGGGTAGCGAAGTTATGGTTAATTACCATGTTTCTCTATTATTAGATAGGATGAGTAAACCTAATTTCAGAATACAGTAATTACCTGGAGATACTTTGAGCCAACTTGTTTATCATTAGTGGGTGTCAGATATTTTTAGAAAGTTAACTCTAGTATACCTTTTAATTGAGGCCCGGTGCAGAACTGCGTGCACGGGTAGGGTCCCTAGGCCTGGCCAGTGATCAGGGCCTATCCGGACTTTCTGGCTGCCAGCCAGGGCCTCCCTTCCCTGGCTGCCGGCCAGGGCCTTCCTTCGTTCTGCACCTCCCCCTGGTGATCAGCATACGTCATAGCGAGCGATCAAACTCCCGATCTCCCAAGGGGACAATTTGCATATTAGGCTTTTATATATATAGATAGATGAGCTCTTCTCTTCCCTCCCTCCTTTGCCATGAAAGGTAGGGGGAGGGCTGAAGAGAAAGAAACATTCAATATTATCCAATTCTAAAGATATATCTGGGGACTGTCCAAGTGTTTTATCACATCCCAAGATATAAAAATTAAATGACAATAGAATATACGCAGCTGATAAAAAGAATAAATAAAGTCTATGTACTGATTTAGAAAATGCTCCCAACATATATAAACTAAAATAATCAAGGTGCATAACGGTGTTTATAGGATGCTACCATTTATATTTTTTAAAAGGAGGAACTGTATGTTCATATAATTTGCGCACGCGTGCGCGCACACACACACACACACACACACACACACACAACTTGCCAGCATGTAAGTGAGTCACTTTGGAAAGGGTTTCTTCAACCCCAAACTTTTACATGACTAGCCCAGGTCGACATCTGACAAAATATTCAAGCAGAACCTCACAACCAAACTGCTCCCAATCCCCTCTGACAGAAACTGTGAAAGATATTTATTGTTGTTTGAAGTCACCACATTTTGAAATAATCAGTTATACAATAATAAATAACTAAAGAGTTTATTCTCAAATAATCTTTTCATTTATTCAACCACAACCTCCATAACTTAGAAGACATAATAAAAATAGTCCTATTTACCAGATCTCATAAACCTAATGGGCAGCCTCAAATTACAGAATCAGGTGGACTTAGGTACCAGTACTTCGAGGATAGCCTTCCAATAAATGCCAGATGCCACACAGACACACAAAAGTTTTTAGAACCCCTCACTCAGGAAGAAAGGTAAACTCCTAACTGGTGGTAACACTTATAGAACTGGTGATAAGGAAATCATTATTTATCTTCCAAAATGACAGGCAACAACTTTAAAGACACCAACTTTACTATGTTCTAGGTTTTTCCCCCCAGGAGAAAAACTTCTGTCCAGGAAACTTTAAAATTAAGACACAATGTAAGACATGTGTAAGTGTGCACAGAAAGGCCACAGTGTCGAGTGCATCGTGCTGCAGACAAGCAAAAAGTATAATCAGCAAATTCGGATGGCATTTGTAGTATATAATATATAAAAGTTCCAGCTACCAGGAAAAATGGATTGATCAAAATACACATCCTAAAGCAGTGATGGCGAACCTTTTGAGCTCGGCGTGTCAGCATTTTGAAAAACCCTAACTTAACTCTGGTGCCATGTCACATATAGAAATTTTTTGATATTTGCAACCATAGTAAAACAAAGACTTATATTTTTGATATTTATTTTATATATTTAAATGCCATATAATAAAGAAAAATCAACCAAAAAAATGAGTTCGCGTGTCACCTCTGACACGCGTGTCATAGGTTCGCCATGACTGTCCTAAAGGTTTCAGGCAGTTAATATTTTATAGTACTTTTTCATAATGTAACAACACAATTGAAAGCAGGTGGAAATACAGAGCTATTTACCTGTTTATTTCAAAGGACTAAGACTGCTGTGCTTTCATAGTTTTTCTGATTATAGTCAGATGTCACTTTTAAATGACTTTTGCTTTATTTTATGGTAGAGACACAGGAAAGAAACTACTTGTTTGAGTGATGACTTTTATTTATTTTTTTGGTGATTTCAGGGAGGAAGGGAGAGGAAGAGAGAGATAGAAACATCAATGATGAGAGAGAATCATTGCTTGGCTGCCTCCTGCATGCCCTCTACTGGGGATTGAGCACGAAACCAGGCATGTGCCCTTGACCGGAATCAAACTCGGGACCCTTCAGTTAGCAGGCCAGCACTCTATCCACTGAGCCAAACTAGCTAGGGCTGAGTGATGACTTTTTTATGAAATAAAGACTATTCATCCAAAGGACTCTTTTCTTACTTCCCAATTGAGGTTGCATCCCAGAACCTTTAACTAACAGCAATCTGATTCCTGGTTGAATAGCAAATTATTGTGTGTACTGATAAACCTAGTATCTATCACTCAGGTAAATTATTTTTCAAAAAGAGTAACACCAAATAAATGGCCTACTTATCTGAACTCTTTATTCATGAACACAAACTAATACAATTTACACATTAAGTTCATAATATAATATATATTGCCTGTAAATAACCAGAGCAAATTGAAATATAAGATGTATTTCACAAAGCAAGGAATCTAGTTCCCTGCCTATTCATATAAAATTCTTGCCATAAGAGTTTTTCATTACCTCATAAGAAATTAGACTGAAAATGTCTTCCGCAGAATGGAAATAATGAAAATATAGCTTAAACTTAAGAAAAAAGGAAGTAAAGGAGACAGTAGATCCTATTAAGTTTATTACATCATCTACTCTTATAGGAGCTTTGACAGATAAACATTATGTTATTAACATTTCATCCAATCATCACTTTGTCATATAGAAGATTCCCAGTGGGTGTCAGATATTTTTAGATTTAAAGGTTTATCTTAAAAGTTAATGTACCCTTAGAACAAATATTTGATAGTTTTATTTGTAAAAGTAAGATTAGTAACATTAAAAACATTTTTTTTAAAAGTGATTCAATTATAATTATGTTAACTTTTTGTCTTCGTATCATATTTTTAAAGTTAACTCTAGTATACCTTTTGAGAACTGAGGCTTTGTTTCCCAACTCTTTAACAAATAAAATTCTAAGGAATTTTCAAGCCCTGTATTATACAGTATCTCACAAAATTTTGGCTACCAATCAGATACGAGATGATTTCATGGGCCCCAAAGACAAGGCTAAGTGACAATGTAGCAAGTGAGCAATTTATTCTCCCTTCATTCTATTTAAATTCCTCAGACTATATCAGGAGGACTCAGAATGGTGTTATTGACACCTCCCCGATTCTTGATATCTCTCTTTTAAACAAAGAACAGTAAATCTCAAACTGAGGGTCTCCAGCAGATAATTAATTCTAGCAAGAATTTATCAATACGGTTTTGTTTCCATTATTTTCATCTTTATGTCTACCTTCTGTTTATGACAATACCTGTTTTGTACTAATGGTGATTATTCCAAGTTTCCTTTAAAAATTATTTTAGTCCAGCTGGTGTGGCTCAGTGGTTGAGTGTCAACCTATAAACCAGGAGGTCACGGTTCGATGCCCAGTGTGGGGCATGCAGGGGGAAGCCGATAAATGATTCTCTCTCTCATCATTGATGTTTCTTTTTTATTCCTTGATGTCTGTAGCCAAATTTACCCCTGAGGCCCAGCAGAGGGGATCAGGGCCCATCCGCCAGAGTGTTTCTGTGGCAGCCTTCGGGGCCAGTGCCTGCCATGGATGGGGCAGTCACATTGATGTTTCCATCTCTCTCTCCCTCTCTCTTCCCTCTAAAATCAGTAAGAATATGTAAATATTATCTTAATAATCACATTGATATAAAGAAATAGTAAAGAAACAAGTATGCAGGAAGTATGCAGTTGTGGCCAGAATTTTGTAGATGATAATAAAAATGACTGAGTTTGATGAGTGCCTTAAATAACAAACTAGATCAGATGGATTTAATTGATATCTTTAGAGCATTTCACCCCAAAGTAGCAGAATATACATCATGTTAGGATACAAAACAACTTACACATTAAAAAAATTGAAATCATATCAAGCATCTTTTTTGACCTGGTATGAGACCAGAAATCAATTACAAGAAAAAAAAAACTAAAAAAACACACAATCACATGGAGGCTAAATAACATGTCTATTAAACAATGAATGGAAAACAATGAAGTCAAGAAATAAATCAAAAGATACCCTGAGACAAATGAAAATGAAAACACAATAACCCCAAATCTGTAAAAGGGAAATTCATAGCATTCCAGGCCTACTTCAAGAAACAAGAAATCTCTCAAATAAGCAATATAACTTTAAATTTAAAGGAACTAGAAAAATAACAAAGCCCAAGGAAGGAAATAATAAAGATCTGAGTGGAAATAAACAAAATAGAGTCTAAAAAAGCAATAACAACAGATCAATGAAATCAAGAGCTGGTTCTTTGAAAATATAAATCAGATTGAAAAACCTTTAACCAGACTCATCTAGTAAAAAAGAGAGGAGAGCCCTAACCAGTTTGGCTCAGTGGACAGAGCATCGGCCTGTGGACTCAAGAGTCCCAGGTTCGATTCCAGTCAAGGGCATGTACCTTGGTTGCGGGCACATACCCAGTAGGGAGTGTGCAGGAGGCAGCTGATCGATGTTTCTCTCTCATCGATGTTTCTAACTCTCTATCCCTCTCCCTTCTTCTCTGTAAAATATCAATAAAATATATTTTTAAAAAAAGAAAGAGAGGGGACCCAAATAAATAAAATCAGAAATGAAAGAGAAGTAGCAACTGACACCACGGAAATATACAGAAAATATAACAAACAACTATAGGCCAACAAATTAGACAATATAGAAGAAATGGAAAAATTTCTAGAAATATACAATCTCCCAAAACTGAATCAAGAAAAAATAAAATCTGAACAGACCAATTATAACTAATGAAATTGAAGCAGCAATAAAAAAAAAATCTTCCAACAAACAAAAGCCCTGGACCAGATGGCTTCACAAGTAAATCTTACCAAATATTCAAAGAACTAACACTTACCCTCAAACTACTGCAAACAAGTCAAGTGGAGGGAAGACTTCCAAACTCATTTCACGAGGCCTGCATTATCCTAATTCCAAAACCAGATAAAGACATGACAAAGAAAGAAAATTATACACCAATATCCCTGATCAACATAGATGTGAAAATCCTCAAACAATATTAGCAAATCAATTCTAGCAATATCTTAAAAAATCATACACCATGATCAAGTGGGATTTATTCCTGGGATGCATGGTGGGCACAATATCTGCAAATCAGTTAATGTGGTACACCACATAAAAAAATGAAGGATAAAATTCATATGATTATATCAATAAATTCAGAAAAAGCATTTGACAAAATTCAGCACCCATATATGATACAAACTTATAGCAAAGTGGAAATAGAGGGAACATACCTCAATGTATTAAAGGACATATATGACAAAACCACAGCTAATATCATACTCAATTGGGAAAAACTAAAAGCATTTCCCTTCAGATCAGTAACAAAACAAAGATGTCCACTTTCACCCCTCTTATTCAACACAGTACTAGAAATCATAGCCACAGCAATGAGGCAAAAAGAAATAAAAAGCATCCAAATTAGAAAGGAAAATTGTCATTATTTACAAATGACATATTTTACATAGAGAATCCTGAAGAATCCACCACAAAACTACTGGAACTGATAAATTCAGTAAAGTAGTAGGATATAAAATAAATATCCAGAAATCAGTTTCATTTTTATATACCAATAATGAACTGTCTGAAAGGGAATCTAAGAAAACAATCTCATTTACAACTGCATCAAAAATAAAAGTAAAGTAACTAGGAATAAATTTAACCAAGGATGTAAAAGACCAATACTCGGAAAATGATGACACTGAAGAAAGTGATGCTACAAATAAATGGAAGCATATATATGCTCATGGATAGGAAGAATTAGCATTGTGAAAACGTCCATACTACCCAAAGCAACCTATAGATTCAACTCAATTCCTATCAAAATACCAATGTTGTACTTCACAGAATAAGATAAATAATCCAAAATTTTACATGGAACCAAAAAAGAATCCAAATAGCAATATTGAGAAAGAACACAGTTGAAGGAATCATGCTCCCTGATATCAAACTATACAAGGCCACAGTAATTTAAAAAAGCATGACACTAGCATAACAACAAACAAAACTAGACATATAAATCAATGAAAGAGAAGAGAGAGCCCAAAAATATACCCACGGCTATATGGCCAATTAATGTTTGTCAAAAGAGGCAAGAACATATAATGGGGTAAAGATAGTCTATTCAATAAATGGTGGTGGGAAAACTGGACTGGTATATGCACAAAAATGAAACTAGACCACTTTCTTGCATCTACAAGAGAAATCATTTAGTCTGGTCCTGCCAAGGCATTAGGGATGAGTTAATTAAATGTTTGACCAAATGTAGCTAATTGTTAAGTTGATAATTTTGTATGGCCCGCAAATGATGTTACAAATATCCAAATGGCTCTTGGCAAAAACAATGTTCCCCACCCCTGGATTACAGCCTTAAATTTAAGACTCAAACCGTAAAACTCCTAGGAAAAAACATAGGTAGTAAAATCTCCAACATTTCTCTCAATAATATTTTTTCTGATATATCTTCTTAGGGAGGTGGAAAAAAATGAGTCGAACAACATCAAATTAAAATGTTTTTGAATGGGAGAAGATATTCACCAATGATACATCTGATAAGGGATTACTATGCAAAATTTATAAAGAATGCATACAACTCAACAGCCCCAAAACAAACAATCCAATTTAAAAATGGGCAAAGGACCTGAATAGACATTTCTTCAAGAGGACATACACATGGCCGACGGATGTGAAAAGATGCTCAACATCAGTAATCATCAGAGAAATGGCAATTAAAACACAATGGATATTACCTCACACCTGTCAGAATGGCTATCATCAATAAATCTATAAACAAGTATTGATGAAGATATGGAGAAAAGGGAACCCTCACCTACCGCTGTGGAAAACAGTAGGGAGGTTCTTCAAAAAATTATAAATGGAACTGCGTTATGACCCTGTGATTCCACTTCTGGGTATATATCTGGAGAAACCCAAAACACTAATTCAAAAGAATAGATGCACCCCTATATTCATCGCATTGTTGTTATTTACAGTAGCCAAGCTACAGAAGCAACCCAAGTGTCCATCAATAGACAAATGGATAAAAAAGCAGTACATATATACAATGGAATATTACTCGGCCATAAAAAGAGAATGAAATCTTATTATTTGTGACAGCATGGATGGACCTAGAGGGTATTATGCCCAGTGAAATAAGTCAGTCAGAGAAAGACAAATGCCATATGATCTCACTTATATGTGTAATGTAAATAACAATATTCATGAACAAACATAAGAGAAATAGACTCATAGATACAGAGAACAGGCTGATGGCTGCCAAAGGGGAGGGAGTTTGGGGGAAAGGATGGAAAAGGTGAAGGGGTTGAGAAATACAGATTGGCAGTTACAAAACAGTAATGGGAGTGTAAAGTACAGCGCAGGAAATATAGTTAGTAATATTGTAATAACTATGGTGCCAGGTAAGTACTGGAAATATCAGGGGAACACTTTGTAAAGTATAAGACTGTCTAACCACTATGTTGTACACCGTAAACTAATACAAAATAATACTGAATGTAAACTGTAATTGTAATTGAAAAAATAAAAATTTAAGAAATGGCTGAAGTTTGAGAAATACTACCCTTTTCCATTGGGTAACAAATAAGTGTAAGTGCCAACTATGAGCATGCCATTCGTTTAGCCACTATAAGGATAGAAAAGGATATTCAAAGAAATGTAAATAGAAAAGGAGAAAAGGAAATTATTTCAAAATGAAGCAATACACAAAATGGCATTTTAAGCTAGGACTTGATTGTTATGATTTAGACATGTAGAGACAGAGCATTCAAAGAGAACAAAAGCATAACAATATAGGCCTGAGTGGTGACATGTTTCAAATCCTGATTGTGGTGGTGGTGACATAGGTGTGTGTATATAATGTACATATAAAATGAGTGCACATTATTATATGTAAATTTTCCCTTAATAAATTTGATACCATATATTTGACCTATGCAATGAAAAGTCATTGAGGTTTCAGGCTTGAGTAACTTGGGGAGGGAGAAGTGAATGCAATAAAGAGAAAATGGAAATCACATTTTAAAAGGAATCAAAAGTACTTATTTTCATATAATAAAATTTCAATTAAATATTTTAGCTATAACCAAAAAAAAAATAGCTCTATGCTTCTACATAATAGTTTCATTTCAGGGAGAGAACTCATCTGAATTAAGGCTTACCTATTAAAATTAAATGTGTGATCCCTCCCAAACAAAGGAGTTCATTAACAGCACTCACCCCTAACAAGGTAACAAAGAACAGAAAGAAGTAGCCACACTGGTTCTGCGCTAGTGACACCTGACAGAATTTAGCAAAATTATTTAAGGTTGAATTAAACATGTAGATCCTGACAGTAAGCAATTTAGAAATTGCCTTAGAATTTACATTTTAATCTTTAATTATTTTCAGTAATCAATTATTAAGTACATTTCAAGTGGCTTTCATAACATTTCACAGTTGAAGAATTCATGACTAGAGAGGGAAATCATTCATAGTAAAAATAACACCATGATTAACAAGTCTTTACCTGTTGGAACTTCATAATGTCATTCTTAATAAAATCATAACTTGCTCATAAAAATCAAATTCAAAACATGAAATAATTATGGTATTGAAAAGCATCAACAGACCAGAAAAAGAAGATACTCTTCTGCTATAAGTTAAAGCATTGGGTCCATAGAAACCTATATGTATCCTTAATATTTTACTAAGGAAAATACAAGTCTTGGTTATACCAGTGAGTTGCCACTAGATCTGCATGCTCCAGAAAACTTAACATGAAAGCCATGTGGGGAATTTCAGAGTTGAAAGGGGACTCAAGTCAAGTGCTACACTTTCTAAAATGGTATTCTATGTACAATAAGTCAGTTCTTGAAACTGAGGTGAAATGACATAAGGAAACCCATTTTACCATAAGCTGACTGGCATAAACAAGTTCCTACAGGAATGATACAAGGAAACGACACTGAAGGAAATGTTATTCTAGGACCTGCTGTAATTATATTCTAGATGTTAACAGGTTGGCTATGAGAAAATAGGCTCTCTGCCCTGGTAGGTTTAGGAAACGCTTCGATAACATTCCCTTGAGGATTTACATTTAATAGCAGTAAAGGTTTTGAGAAGTCCTGCAGGTAAAAGCAAATCAAAAGTTAAACTCCTGATCAAACCCAATGTGCTTCCAAATCATTTGCCATGGAACACTCTTTTGGGACAGTAAGCCTGTTATTGAATTCAGAACATTGTTCAGGGTGAAACATTAGTTTGAAAAACTCTAAACTTATGAAATCCCTTCAACAGATGACAAAACTGTGGCCCAGAGAGCTCATACCAGGTTAGCAGGACAAAGAACTTAGGTGAATAGGACTCCTTTGCCTTTATATATATATCGTTAAACTTTTAATTAACAACATTTAATTTACATGTAACATTTTGGTTGTGCTATCACATTTTCTGGTTTGTGTATTAACTTAGGTGTTTTTAATTCTTCCTTCATGACTTCAGTTCCTGATAATCATGTCCACCTGGATATTTGCTATTCTTTAGCAATACTGGAGAATTATGTCGTTCAGAGCGGCAGCTGAAAGTAATCACTGAAAATAAAGCGTGTGTTCTACAACTGGTGTTAGTTTACTCTTGTTATAACTTGTCAGCTCCACTAAATCATTGTGCTGTTTATCAGGTGAGTTACTTAGCACCTAATGCTGACATGTTATTCACAGTAAAATGAAGATCTATGTCTGCATAGAAGATAGCCAATAACAACGAAAAGGAGAGTGTTTTTTTTTTTCTATAGTTCAAGGCTTATGTATCAGGCATCTTCCTAACTCTTTTTGTAATTATTATTAACAAGTCTTGATTGCTTTAACTACCGCCTCCAAATCAATTTCCCCCCATCTTTATGTTTCTCAAACTCCATAGAAATGTAAGATTAATCAAAACACAATTTACGTAGCCTTAAAAAAGTATAGTTGCCCTAGCCGGTTTGGCTCAGTGGGTAGAGCGTCGGCCTGCGGACTGAAGGGTCTCGGGTTCGATTTCCGTCAAGGGCACACGCCTGGGTTACGGGCTTGGTCGCCATTGGGGGCGTGCAGCAGGCAGCCAAATCAGTGATTCTCTCTCATTGATGTTTCCATCTCTCTCTCTCCCTCTCCCTTCATCTCTGAAATATATTAAAAATGTAATCTCTTAAAAAAAGAGTTCTTATAGTGTTAAAAAAAATGCATAGTTGTGTGCCACTCTTCAGGGTAGGAGAAGAATGGAGGAGGCGGAACAGGTAACTGTAGTTTATGCAGCAACTTTAAAAGCCTCGGGAATCAAAGGTGATCATTAACAACTTCCTTATGACTAATATGACTTCCTCTCATCGACGTGGGCACTCCTTTCCGACCCCTCGCGTGGGCCATGCACCGGGGGTGGCATTCACTGCTGTCACAATATCAGAACGATCGCACACACTAGTGAGACTGCACGAGGCCTTGATTCCGCCAACAAAGGGGTTCCCCCGCGCGCCTTCCTCGCCCAGGTGCGACCTCCACTCCAACCTGGCTCCCGGCCCGGCCCGCCCCAGCGCGGGCGGCTGGGGATCCGCCACCGGACACCTGCGGCCGCCCTCGCGCCTCCGCCCCGCCCCAGCCCGCCGGTCCCCGCGCAGTCCGCTTTCCCCGGAAACCAGAGGACGGCCGCCCGGCTTCGCGGCTTCATGCGGGGCCAGGGCGGCATCGCCCCCGATGCCACAGCAGCCTGACCCGGCATGTCCCCGCGGCTCCGGAACGAGGCAGGCCGAGGAAGCCGCTCAGAGCCAGCCCCGGCTCGTGACCGCTACGGGGGCGGGGACACGGTTACCTGCTGTGGGCTCCGCGGCTCCCGCCAGCGCCGCTCTCCTGGCAACCGCGGCGGCTACACCGAGGCCGAAAGCCGAAGGGTTTGGTGACAGCTCCCAGCGTGCACCGCGCCGCGCCCCACGCCCACGCCGGCGTCGACGTCGACGAGCTCTATATCCACCCCCTGGTCCGTTCTCCGTCCTGGGCGCCAGCTGTCGCACAGCGCCCTCAAGCGGAGTGTCAGGGAAGCGGCCCAGGGCCACCAACTGCGGAAGTGGGCCTGCAAAGGGGTTTATAGCAGGTGTTTTTAACTCGCCAGCGCCAGCCCTATCCTGAGAGTTTGAAGGAATGCTAGGAGTTGAAAACAGCTTTTACATATTACTTAAATAATTATTTAAGTATTATTTAAATAAGTGTTTAAATATAATTTAAATAATTCCTTTGTATTTCTTAGGCAGACCTTGAGGCCCAGAGAGGTTAGAAGACTTAGGAAATTCCAATAGTTATCAGCTTTGGACTGTTTGAGCCTAGAACTCTCTAAATCACGTAGTTATTGCAAGGAGGATTGCACTGGTTTGCCTAAATCATAGGGTCAAAAAAATAATTTTTTTTTACCAATGTAAAAATATAAAAATATTTTAAAATAATCAAAATCGCCTGCCTGCATGGCTCAGTGGTTGAGCGTTGACCTTTGAACCAGAAGGTCATGGGTTCGAGGCCCTGTCAGGACATATACCCAGAGTGCAGGCTTGATCCCCAGTGTGGGGCGTGCAGGAGGCAGCCAATGATTCACTCCCATCATTGATGTTTCTATCTCTCTCTCCCTTTCCCTTACTCTCTAAAATCAATAAAAATATATTTTAAAAAATAATAAAATAAACCAATTATGAAGAGCATACTATGCTAAGAATGTTATTTAAGCACTTAATAGCATAGCCTTGAGAATTAAAGAAGATATGAGTTGAAATCATCACCCTTCATCACCATTATCTGAGATGGAATAGTAGTAAAGTTAATTCTGTGTTGTTGAATCATTGTGATGGATACAGGAATTTGTGATGCAACATGATAAACTTTTAAAACTTCAAATACCAATTTTAGTTAATCCTCACCCAAGGATAATTTGCTATTGATTTTTAGAAAGAGTGGAAGGGAGAGGGAGAGACAGAGAGAGAAACATTAATGTGAGAGACACATTGGTTGGTTGCCCCCTGCACACACCCCAACCAGGCTGATGCTCTATCCACTTAGCCAAACCAGCTAGGGCTCAAATACCAATTTTAGAAATATTGTCTTAAACTAGTGTCTCTAAGATAGAGGTTTTATTATCTACTCAGAAAATGTCTAGATGAATGTTTGGTGGAAGGTAATTATGACCTTGAAATTATAAAGTAGAACATCAATCCACATACGATTTTCTGAATACAAACATTCACTGTTTCTGTTTCTGAATATAAACATTCACTGTTTCTGTTTTTAAAAAACAGCCTCTTCTTTTAAAGAATTCTTATAATGCTTCCATGGACTTATATTTTAGCATTTTCCATTACAAGTATTTACAATATACTAGATCCTTTTCTTTACTGTGTCAAACTTTCCAAAATAATCTTCTGGTAGTAATAAGATTAGGACTTCCACAAAAGTGAGTAGTGAAAATGTACACATGGAATCATTTTCATCTTCCTTTTTTCAAAGCTTATAGGAATGCTTAATCCTGTGATTCATGTTACTGGTTTTAATACATTCTATTCTGCATAGGGAACAGAAAACTTCTTACACTTTTGCAACTTGGAGCAATTGTGTCTAACTTGAGAAGCAATGTCACCGTCAATCCTGGACATCTGTGGCCTCAGAGAGAGGAGAGCTACTGAAGGACCTCCCGCCCATAGATCATAAAAATGAGATCATAGTCCATAAAAATAAAACAAAACACAAAAACAAAATACAGTGTATTTGGGGTGAAGAATTCTGCTCTTGGGCCTCCAGGGGACTGTGCCTGCCTGTATTAGCTACCCCTCTTCCAGCCTTATCCCTATCCACGTTAGCCAAAGGAATGCATGCCCCGTCTGATTTTAAGGTCATTTCCAAGGAGACTAACGTATCAGGTCACACCCACAAGAAGCAGAGTGGGAGGACAATTGGCTCTCCCACCCACCTTCACAGTGCTCAGACCCCAAACCGCTCTGAAAACGCTCACGCCCCCCAGATCGAGTCCTCCAGGCCGCGCACTCTCCGCCCGGCAGGTGGCGCTGTGGGCGGGCTGGCTGTTTCAGCCGAGCGAGCCCATCCCGGAATCCCGTGCCGCCGCCGCCGCCGTGCTGCTTGGGTTTGAGCCGCACGTGCAGAGGCGCTCCTGGCCCCGCTGGCGGGTTGGCTGGGACCTCCGTCTGGGCGCCCGCCATGGCCCCGCCGGCAGAGACGCGCGTGTTCCTGGAGGTGCGGAGACGGCTGCAGAGCGCGCTGCTGATCCTGGGGTAAGGCCAGGGGTGGGAGTGTGGGCTCCCGGGCACCGAGCCTCGCTCGCCTCTATGCTACCCGGCGAGTCTCCGCCTCCCTGGGGAGGGTGGGTTTTTGAATTTCTTCTTTCCAGTTGCTTAGAGCTCTCTTGATTACTCAGAGTAGAGTGGTCCCTCTCCTATGGCCCCCCACCCTCACCCCCCTTCTACCATCTCGGCATCACCTGGCAGCTTCTGAGAAATGCAGTCTCAGCCCACAACAGACCTGCTGAATCAGAGCTCGCGTTTGACGTGCTTCCCCGATTCAGATGCACGTTCACGTGTGAGGAGCACTGATGTAAAACATCGTTGGCGGTGCCCGGCGTTTCCAAGGAAACGGTGCCAAAAAATGCCTGTCTGACTCATTAAAGGATCTTCATTGTAGGATCAGTTCCAAAGTGAGTTGCCCGTTTTATAAATAAAGTCGGGTTTTTTTTTCCCCCTCCCCAGACTGTTCTATGCAGAGAAACTGATACAGTCGTTTAAAACGTGTGTTTAGCGAGTGACTAACAAAGGTGGTATGCTTACTACAGTTCATTCTTTTATTCACATTACGAGTTCCAATGGGAAGTCTGCAAACCGTTTAACTTCTTTTTTTTTCTTTTCCGCTACATAAATACGAAACTGTTAGGAAAAGTGTTCTCCCTTTTGTTTTGTTTTGTTTTGTTTTGTTTTGTTTTGTAGTATGTGATCCTTTCTCCTGTGCCCACTGTTTCAAATACAGCAAATTCAATATTAAAATCCTAAAAATTTTATTACACAGCGCCACTGTGAGGTAGATTGGTGCTTAGCTTTACCTCTTTTCCTTAAGTCAGCCAGGTGTCTGTGTGCCAGTTTTGGATTTGGCAGGAGAACTGAATTCAAATCCTAGCTTCTTCACAAAGGTAGAATTCTATTTAGTCTGAATTTTTTTGAATTGTAAAATGGGGATATTTACTTCTCTTATTTCTATCTCTCAAATCAGATAAGTATCTCCAATTCCATTTCACTTTGTAGGGTAATTAGAGACCCAAACCTTACACAAAACAAAACAACCTCCCTACTTTCTTCAGGGTTGTCCTGGATTACACTCCCTTGTTTAAGCAAGTTCAGAAACCTAACTGCTGGACTACTGGTTTGTCCCCCGGTGGTGACCATTGAGCTTTATCACTAATCAATTCCCTCTACTCTAAAAGCAACCAGTGCTCTGATTTCGTTCAACAAAGATTGGTTTTGCCATTGCTCACTTTGTTGTTGTTGTTGTTGTTGTTTCTGGCTACTTTCCTTCAACAGTGTTTCTGAGATTCATGTTTCATCCCTGCCATCGAATACGTAAATAATCCAATTCTTTTTTCCTGCTGAGTAGTTTTCCACTGAATGAACATATGACAGTTCATTTATTCATTCTCCGGTTGCTGGATATTTTGTGTGTTTTAGAGCAGGGTAGGGAACCTTTTTTTTTCTGCCAAGGGCTATTGGGATACTTAAAACATCATTTGTGGGCCATACAAAATTATCAACTTAAACATTAGCCTGTTATATTTGGTCAAACATTTAATTAACTAGCCCCTAATGCCTTGGCAGGACCAGACCAAACGACTTAGGCCATGTTTCCCACTTCCGTTCTAGAGTTTGCTTATCATGGATAAAGCTGCCACAGATTGTGTATAAGTCTTTTTGTGGACGTGCATTTTCATTTCTCATAGGTAATTACCTAAGAGTGGAATTGATGGGTCATAGGGCAGATGTGGCCTTTACTGTATGAGAAATTGCCAAACAACCTCCAAAGTGGTTGTACCATTTTACACTCTCACCAGGAAAAAAAAATGAGAGTTCCCATTGCTTCACATTCTCATCTGCATTTAGTGTTGTAAGGCTTTTTGATTGTAGTCATTATAGTGATATAAAGTGGTATCTCATTGTCATTTTAATTTGCATTTCCTTGACTAATAATGTTGAGTACCTTTTATTTGTTCTTTGGTTATTCACATATGTTCCTTAGTAAGGTATCTTATAATGTTTTGGCATTAAAAAATCCAGTTGTTTGCCTTATTGTTGAATTTGAAAGTTCTTTATATAGTCTGGAAAAATGCTTTTTTCATTTATGCCTTCTGAGTATCTAAATATTTTCTCTCAGTGTGTAACTTCCTTTTCATTTTCTTAATAGTGTTTTTTGATGAACAGAAAATTTTAATTATAATGAAATCCAGTTTATTGCATTTTTCCTTAATGATTAGTGTTTTTGTATCTTAAGAAATCTTTGTCTACCTTAGGCTTGTAAAGATTTATTTTCCTATGTTTATATTTTAGGAGTTAACATAGTTTAAGCTTTTACATTTAGGTCTGTGAATATGGTAAATTCATTTTTGTGTTTGGAGTAAGGCTTGGTCAAGTTCTTTTTTTTTTTTCTGTAAGGATATCCAGTTGTTTTATCACCATTAGTTAAAAAGACTGTCATTTCTCCCATTGAAATAACTCAGTGTCTTTTCAGAAATCAGTTGACTATACTTTTGCATGGTATGTCCTTTTTTACACATTTACTCTCAATCCATCTTTATATATAAAATTTTTATAGCATACTGGGTGAAGTTTTTTAAAATTCATTCTGACAATTTATACAATTAATTAGAATTTTTAGTCTACATATTTTACAGTTAATGTACATGATATGATTGAATTTTATTCTTGTTCCTAATCTTAAAACAAATGCTTGTAGTACTTAATCTTTAGGTATGATGAAGTTGATTTTTGGCTAACCTGTTTGGTAGATTGCATAGTTCTTCTTCTAGTTTAAGGGTGTGTGTGTGTTTTAATTTATTGATTTTTCTTGAGAGACATCAATTTGTTGTTCCATTTATTTGTGCATTCAATAATTGACTCTTATATGCTCCCTGACCAGGGATTGAACCCACAACCTTGGTGTATCAGGACGATCCTCTAACCAACTGAGCTACCCAGCCAGGGCCTAGTTTAAGGTTTTTAATAACGAATAGATATTATATTATCTGTAATTATTTCTGCGTGTATTGTGACGATCATATTTTTTGCTTTGATCTTTACATCTGTGAATTACATTAGAAAAGTCTATTTATGTCAAGCCATCTTAGCATTCCTGGGATAAACCTAAGCCATTCATTTATTCAATCCACAGATATTTACTGAATTCCTATTCTACTGCCAAAACCTCAGATTCTAAGTATGGGTATACAGCTGTGAACAGTAATAAGAACAAAGACAAAAATATTTATTCTCATTGAATTTACAGTCTAATGGTGGCAGTGGGTGAGAATTAGGCAGAAAAACACACACAAAATAAACAAAATACACATTATATTGAACACAGATAAGCACCTGGAAAAAAAATACAACAGAAAAAGGGATAGGTAAAACAAATGACAAATTGTTATTCCAAAGGCAAAAACAAGATTTGAGTAATAAACTGAAAGAAGTATGGTTTGGAACTATGGGATACCTGGTAGAAGACTGTTTTCCTCTGAGTATGAAGGGGTGCTTAGTTCATAGAGGTGTGGGTGGGCTGGTGGAGCACATAATAAAGGGTCATACAATGAGTGATGTGCTGGTGAGTGTTTGGCAACCTGCACTCCAGGAAAACAAAGCAACCAACCAAACAAAAACCTCCCAATTTGCAGCATGTACTGATTTCTGTGGTGTAAATACTTTCACTATGGATGATGCCAGAGCTGTCAAAGTGAGGTCAACTGGTTTGCAAAATACCTGCAACTTTCACACGTGGCTCTAGTTTATCACTGAGAGACATTAGCTGGTACTCAGGGCAAGATATGAACTTACTGGATAGTTTCAAGCAAAATGTGATGCCTGAAAGAAGACAAATGGATAGTGAAGAAAGCCTCAAGTTATACAAAGTGCTAACAATTAGAGTTTCAAAACTTTGTTTTGGATTGATAGCAAACTTGAGATAAGTTGCTGTCACACCTGAATATGTTACTGTGGATTTCCTACACGTAAGCACATTTTCCTACATAACCACCAGGCAACCCTCAAAATTGGGAAATAGGTTACTATCTTCTTATACTCAAACCTCACTCAAGTTTTGCCTGTTGTCTACATAATATCTGTGATTGTGCAGGGATCCAGTTCATTCATTGCCAGGTTTACCTTGGAAGGAACAGTTCCTCAGTTTTCCTTAACTTTCATGATCCTGACACTTTTGAAGATTACAGCCCAGTTTTGTAGAATATCCTTTCATTTGGGTTTGTCTCATGTTTCCTCAAAATTAGGTTCAGGTTATCCATCTTTGGCAGTAATACCATAGAAATGATTCGGTCTTCTCATTACAACCTATCAGATGGCAAGTGATTTTGATTGGTCCAATTAAGTTTCACATTAACCTTGAGTACTTAAAGTGGTGTCTGCCAGACTTCTCCACCATAAAATTACTCTTTTTTTCTTCAAAATAAGTGTTACTGAAGAGATCCTTTGATACTATGTAAATGCCCTGGTCCTCATCAGACTCGTCTTTTTTTTTTTCTTTCATTCATTTATTTACATCAGTATGGACCCAGAGTTTTTTTCAGTGGGTTACTTTTTTAATCAAATTACTCCAGTGGTGGCCCCTTCAAAATGATTTGTGTCTTTTTTTATGTATTTAATGTTTTTTTATTGATTTTAGAGTGAGGAAGGGAGAGGGAAAGACAGAAACATCAGTGATGAGAGAGAATCATTGCTCAGCTGCCTCCTGCTCACCCCCCACTGGGGATAGAGTCCATAATCTGGATATGTGCCCTGACCTGGAATTGAACCAGGACCTTCTGGTTCATGGGTCGACTTGACTCTCAACCACTGAGCACACTGGCCTGATTCTATGTCTTTTTTTGACATGTCCCTATCATTTATTAATTTTATGCACAGCAAGATGCTCCAGGCTCATCTCATGTTTTTCCTATTCCAGCCTTGCATGTAGTTATTTTTCCAAGGAACCCTGGTTTGTTTTGCTTTTGTTCATTTGTTTTTAAGTGGAA